ATTGATACTAGCCATCATCACATATCTTATTTTCTAAAACTAAATAACAATATTACATTGTTCCTGTTGAGTAAAACGAACACAATAAAACCACACTAACAAACATCCCTTACAATGTTTATGGTGCAGATAAACAAACCCCGTATCATAACAAAATTATAAATAAATCATAAAAAAAAAAAAACTACAGCGCGGGCGCGCGCGTGTGTGTGTGCGCGCGCGCGTCGTGTCTCCGTGCGCCCCTGCTGTTGGATGTGAGCTGCTGTTGTGTGTGTTTTCTCATGGAGGTTTTTCAGGAACTAACAGGAAAGCAGGAGAAACTCTGAAACTTTAAACGCTCGAGCGGTGCGTGCGTGCGTGCGGCTGACGCGCGGCCCCTGCGCCGCGTTAACTCGCAGTGGATCCGGGAGTGTGTTTTGTGAGGATTCCGTGATTCCGCGATGGCCGGAGCGAGTGTGTGGTATCACCGGGATCTGAGTCGCGCCGCGGCGGAGGAGTTGCTCGCGCGAGCCGGGCGCGATGGGAGTTTCCTGGTGCGGGACAGCGAGAGCGTCAACGGCGCGTACGCGTTATGCGTGCTGTAAGACTCATGCTTTACTATTACATTTACCTTATTTATCCATAACACACTATATTTAGTTGTTTGTGAACTTTCTTTCTTGCTTTCTTTCTCTCTTTCTTTCTTGCTTTCACACCCTGTCTACGCTGAAAGCGAGCGACGCGTCTTATAACAGGAGCGTTGTGCCTGTAAATGAATGCACGCGCAACAGATTGTTTTTAAAGTTGTATTTAAGAGTTTAGACTATTTAAAAGTGGCTTAGTGCCCACTATTATTAATGTTCACTATTATTAGTCCTCACCAACTCAAGCTTTGTTATTGTTTTATAATGTGTGTCGTCATAGGTTAGATTGGTTGTAAAGCAAAGCGGTATGAGGGTTTGTGTACTGTATATCTCACTTCATTCAACGTACGAGTTTATCCAAACACTTGAGTTGGCACGCGGGAGCCGCAGAGGTCACGTGACCAGTCTGCCCTCCACCTCATCATGCATAAAAATAACTGCGTGCTCCACTGTGAGCAACAGGCCAGTGGCAGGGTACTATTCTCTGCCATGGTCATGGAAAACACGTTCTGGAAGTGTTCTGCATGCTGGAAAAGCCTTATAAATGCATGCATTTCTTGTAATGCATGTTTGGTTGAGCTCTGTTCTAAAACATCTGGTACTCCTGGAGTCCACACAGCCCGGATCTGGGCCGACACTATGTTGCTGTCTGGGATTGCATTACTAGAAATGTGCTCGTGTTTAGAGTGAAATTATACGTTAATACTGATTATACGAAATCTGACTAATGAGATTGGCTAGTTCATATGCATTTGTACAATGTGATTTGTGTGAAAATGTACAAGTTTTCGAAAAACATAAGGATGAAGGTGGACCACCGAAAACCGTCAGTTGAGCGATAGCAGATCGTACGAGAAAATACGAATGAGATTGGCTAATTCATATGAATTCGTACAATGTTATTTGTACGAAAACGTATGATTTTTAAAAATGCGTAAGCATGAAGGTTCGTTCTTAAAGGGATAGTTCACCCCAAAATGTAAACTCTGTCAGTAATGACTCTCCCTCATGTTGTTCAACCCCGTAAGACTTTCGTTCATCTTCGGGACACAAATTAAGATATTTTTGATTAAATCTGAGAGCTGGATCACTCCTCTATAGGCTTCTAAAGGGATCGAAACTTGCCGGCCCAGAAAAGTTATTAAAGACATCGTTAAAATAGTCTGAGTGACTACAGTGGCTCAATCTTAAGTTTATCAAGCGACGAGAATACTTTCTGTGCGCAAAAAACAAACAAAAATAACGACTTTATTCAACTCTTCATGTCCTTCTCTGTGGGCCGTGAGATTTCACGTAGTGAAACAGCGCAGCGCTTCTGGGTTGTACGTCACACACACACACACACACACATGACCAGCGTCGGCCAATAGTGAGCCTACATGTGACGTACGACACAGAAGCGCTGCGCTGTTACACTACGTGAAATCTCACGGCCCACAGAGAAGGAAATGAAGAGTTTAATAAAGTTGTTATTTTTGTTTGTTTTTTTGCGCACAGAAAGTATTCTCGTCGCTTGATAAACTTAAGGTTGAGCCACTGTAGTCACTCGGACTATTTTAACGATGTCTTTAATAACTTTTCTGGGCCGGTCAGTTTCGATCCCTTTAGAAGCCTATAGAGGAGTGATCCAGCTCTCAGATTTAATCACAAATATCTTAATTTGTGTCCCGAAGATGAACGAAAGTCTTACGGGGTTGAACAACACGAGGGAGAGTCATTACTGACAGAGTTTACATTTTGGGGTGAACTATCCCTTTAAGCCCAACCGGCAGTGGCACAGGCGGATCGTACGAAAATGTGCGAATGAGATTGTACGAATTATATTGAATAAGCCAACAATTTGGCAAAACGTAAAAAATTACAAATTGCCATAAGATTTTGTTGTAAATTCAGAGAATCCAGTATCTGAATCCATAAATCTGTTGCATTTCAAGGAAATTAATGTTTTTTTCAATTCATGTGTAGCTCTGGGTATTTCCATCTAAACACACTGCATTCATTAACACACTGTTTTTGAGGCTCTTTAGTGGTTCGTAGTGTCAGGAATCCTCCTCTCGGCATCTTGTGGCTGAGTTGGTTCTTTGGAGATGAATAAAGTTCCTGATGTTTGATGGTTCTTAGTGTTTTCTTCAGATAACGTTCTCCCTCAGAGCTTTGGCTATGTTCTGGAAACGTTTAAACAAGCGTTCCTCCAGTACCATATCTGGTTTTTAAAGGATTAGTTCACATTAGCTCACTTCATTAGTCGTGGACATGCAAGAAGAGCATGTGTGCTTAAAAAGTATATAAATGTGTATTTTGTTATAAATGTCCGCTGGTTTGTCTAGATCAGACTCTTATTCCTCGGCTGGATCGTGTCGAGACTTTGAAGCTGCACTGAAACTCACATCTGGACCTTCGACCCGTTGGACCCCATTGAAGTCACTATATGGAGAAACATCTGGAGTGTTTTCCTCAAAAACTGTAATTTCTTTTCCACTGGAGAGTAAATTATCAGGACATTTTAATTCTGAAGTGAACTAATTCTTTAATAATTTTCTCAAAACATTAGCACAAACACCTCATTTATGCGTCGGTTATGCAACATTTTTCTGAAAGGTTTTAGTTGGACGTTCATCTAACGTTTTTTAAATGTTACTACTTGTTTCAGAGCGTTCAGAGAACATTCACAAGTAACGTTCCCATAATATTTGCAGAATGAGAAACTTGCTTATAGCCACGAAAAATACGTTTTTAAAGTATTTAAAAAAAAGTGGGCATTCAGAAATAAAGGGAACATTAGCAAAACGTTCTTCGCACATATTGTCGTCAGCTGCGTATAACTTAGGAATAAAAAAAAAAAAAAAAAACCTATACAGTACATGTGTAGCTCATATTTTTCTCCAGAGCCTGTTGATTGATTGTGTTTTGGTTTTGAAATGCAGTGTGTGAGATCGAGCGGGTTTTTTTACGCGTCAGAACACGCTCACATTTCTGAGTCCCGGTGCTGTGGGCGGTCCACCAAAGGGCTCAAGATGTTCCTCACACACGCAGGAGATCCACGTGTGTGTGTGTGTGTGTGTGTGTGTGTGCTGGGATACTCAAGCCAGAACAGGTTTCTGTGTGTGTGTGTGGACTGGCACAACAGATGAGCTATTTTAAGCAGTTGGTGCTTCTCTCACACCAGCTGTGAAAAACTGAATGAGGTTCTGATTGCCAAGACTTGCTTATTTACTACTCGCATGTTGTGGTTTCCGGCGTTGCCCTTTCGTGTCTCCTCTTATCTCTCTGATAGACAGTCAGTTTTACATTTCAATAGAGGTTTCGATCTCCTACTGCCCCCCTGAAGCACGGTGTCCCTCAGGGTTCGGCTCTAGGTCCGTTGTTATTCCTCATCTACACACTACTTAGGTCAGGTTTTAAATGTCATTTCTACGCTGATTACATCTAATGCTATATCTGTAAGCCTGCTCTATCCACTCAGCATTTCTACTTGTGTGAATGAAATAAAAAGATGGTGCAACTTAGGGATGCACCATATATCGGTCGCCATATTGGTATCGGCCCGATAATGAGCATTTTTAATGTTATCGGCCTGATAGGAAAATGTGAACGATATATTAAAGCCGATAAATAATGTATTATGTCCTTCAGCTGAGACTCCTCAGATGCGCACTGTTCAACATGAGGATTATGAATTGCTTGAAATATGTTTGGAATCAGCATATCAGCGCACGTCTGTCATATCGGCTACATGACATCATAACGAGAACATTATAAGTGTGTTTGGGACGTGGCTTTTAAAGGATTAGTTCACTTTTAAAAAAACTTTTGCTGATAGTTTACTCACCCCCATGTCATCCAAGATGTCCATGTCTTTCTTTCTTCAGTTGAAAAGAAATTAAGGTTTTTGATGAAAACATTCCAGGAATTTTCTCCATATAATGGACTTCAATGGGGTCCAAACGACCATTTCATTGCAGCTTCAAAGGGCTTTAAACGACACCAGACAATGAATAAGGGTCTTATCTAGCGAAACGATCTATCATTTAAAAAATAAATAAAAAAGTTTAAGTTTTATAAGTACAAATGCTCGCCTTGCTCTGTTCTGTGATTCGCGTTCGTGAATCTCCTGTTCAACTCATTCATCAAAATGAACAAATCTTTTTTTCCGAGTCATTTCGTTGGTTGAATGAGCGAAATGAATCGAAAAAAGATTCGTTCATTTTGATGACGAGTTGAACAGATTTTTTTTTTTTTTTTTTTTTTGAAATGACCGAAGGTTTCGCTAGATAAGACCCTTATTCATCGTCTGGTGTCGTTTAAAGCCCTTTGAAGCTGCACTGAAACTGTCATTTGGACCTTGAACCGTTTGGACCCCATTGAAGTCCATGATATGGAGAAAAATCCTAGAATGTTTTCATCAAAAACCTTAATTTCTTTTCGACTGAAGAAAGAAAGACATGGACATCTTGGATGGCATGGGGGTGAGTAAATTATCAGCAAAAGTTTTTTTAAAAGTGAACTAATCCTTTAATGGTGAGACTTTTGCTTTTGTAATCAGGCTCTCAAAAATTAGGATTTAGATTTATCACCCAATATATCGATTATCGGCTTTCAAGTATAAAGAATTATCGGTATCGGCTGAAATGTTGATATCGGCGCGTCCCTGGATCTCCTTCACTCACCAGTTTAATTCCCCTGTGAGATTGATCATCGCACCATCTGAAACTGGACTCAATCTAGAGCCCCTTTCACACAGCGCTTTGAACCCGGCAAATTGCCAGAGTGCCTTCTGTGTGAACGCAAACACGGCCCGGGACTGATGCCGGGTTGGGGACCTAGTAACATTGCCGTGTTCAGACCCGGAACGCGCGCTGTGTGAACAAAAGCCAGAACCAATGCTGTATAAGGGGTGTGTCGTAGTGATGATTCACGAGCCTTTGCAATGACGTGGTTATCGTTCGACTCAGTTACT